TGAAAGATAGTCACATGATAATACTTTTCACTCTTCTGACTAATTACAGTCTATATAACTGGTCAAAATACAACCCTTAACAATTTTATTGTGTACACGTTATACATTTATGACTTATTCATTTAGAAATTATAATGTCTAATAACTAACCACCAACCGCACTGTATACTTCGCTTTATCCACTGTAAACATGGAATAGTTACTACTTAGTTGTTAAATAATTCAATATTCAATTAGTGTATCTGAGATTTTAAACCATCTCTCACATATTTTGGCTAGGATATCCATTTAAAATCACTAGCTGTTATAGCTACACATAATCAATTAAAAGGATCGGTGTTTAATCATTGAATAATCATGGAATGATTAACTACTAAAAAACCATAATCTTGGAAAAAAGGAACTATGTAACCCAAACTTTGTTTTTTTTCTTTTTAAAAAAAACCTGGGGATAATAGCTATCAGTCTATTGAAAGTTCAATGTACAACGCCCATTGTGTGTGAGTGTGTGTGTGTGTGTTGAGAGGAATAAATTTTAAAGCACACCTTCTGTTGAATATTGAACATGTAAGCTTAAATATTAATTCTATGAATGTATCTAGATGTAATAAATACATATTTTATTCTTCAGCCTAATGGAACTACAATTTCTTTTTGTTTTTATTTATCATAATGATAATACTCTGTTGATTGATTTATAATTGGCAATAAAAGCAGACAAATAAAATAAAAACGTTAACTCTTATAACATATTCATCTAAATTAAACCGGGTTACACATGAACCATATAACAACATGGAACATCAACAATTATCATTTCATATAAACCTTAATCTGACCTTATAAGTAATTGAATCATTTGGATATTAGTGAAGAATTTAGTATATTGATAAAAACTTATAGTGTAGTCATGATATTATAAATATAGTTGTGTTTATGAAGTAGATAGTTTAATCGTTTTTAATTTATTACTCAAATGGTTACTATAGTGATAATAATTAGAGGATAAATTTGAAAATCATATCATTATTTTTATTAGTTGTCCGTTGGTAATGTTGTCATTTTGATTTTTTTTCTTTTGACGATATATCCTTTTCCTATCACATACATATGAACAAATGCAGGTAAAGACAGCCAGTATAGCAACAGTCTCTGCATCAGTAAGCCTCAGCATACACAAAGGGAAAACCAAGGTCCTAAAATACAACACGGAGAACAGCAATCCAATCACACTTGATGGCGAAACTCTGGAAGATGTAGAATCCTTCACATACCTGGAAAGCATCATCGATAAACAGGGAGGCTCAGATGCAGACGTAAAGGCAAGGATTGGCAAAGCAAGGGCTGCATTCCTACAATTGAAGAACATATGGAACTCAAAACAACTTTCAACCAATATCAAAGTGAGAATCTTCAATACGAACGTCAACGCAGTCAGTTCTACTGTACGGAGCTGAAACTTGGAGAACTAATACAACCACCATCAAGAAGGTACAATTATGCATAAATAGTTGTCTACGCAAGATATTCAGCATCCATTGGCCGGATACCATCAGCAACAACCAACTGTGGGAGAGAAAAAACCAGCTTCCAGCTGAAGAAATTAAGAAAAGACGATGGAGTTGGTGGGTAGGACATACATTGCGCAAATCATCAAACTGCATCACGAGGCAAGCCCTAACTTGGAATTCTGAAGGGAAGCGGAAAAGAGGAAAGCCAAAGAACACATTACGTTGAGAAATAGAAGCAGATATGAAAAAGATGAATAATAACTGGAAGAAGCTGGAAAGGATTTTCCAGGACAGGGTTGGATGGCGAATGCTGGTGAGCGGCCTATGCTCCTTCACGAGGAGTAACAGGCGTAAGTAAGTAAGTAAGATATGTCCTTTAGGAGAATGATTCATATATATTATTTTTAAAAAAATAATGAATTTTGCCAAAAAGTTAGTTAATTGTTTAGATAGTTATGTATAGGTTAATTAACTGGACAATCGACATTTAATTACTTGGTCGTTCATTCTTAAGTTACACTATATAAAAAAGTTTACCATGTATTGTAATACCACAGTTACTTTGAAAACAAATTCAAACAAAGCAACAGTGGAAGAACTCGCTAATGATTCACAAATCAATTCAAATCAGTGTGTAGGAGCTGATAGTATGTCAAGTCCACGTAGGTTATTCTATCCTCTGGACAAATCAATTTATTCATTCTTCTTAAACCATATTTTTTATCCTGTCATTTATTCGCTTACTAATCCTAAGTGCTTTTATATGATCGTATGTGTGCTAATTAACTTACCTTACACATTATATGTCTGTAACTTATGTTTGATCTGACTAAAAATATCGATTCACACTTAGTTATATTGAGTTGTCTCACTCTCCTTTTCGATTGCTCATCACTTTATTTTGCTTCACATTCTGATCAACGGTTGTACAAAATATAGGTATTCGAAATCTCATTCTCGTATTTGATTTATTTAATTCCGTTATTCACCAACGCGATTTAAGTCGATGATGATATTCAATAACAATCAGCAAACGATCTACCTGGAGCCAGATCTCGGGCGACTAAAAGTGGACAGTAACGTACTTTTAAAAAGGAAAAATCATGTTAAGTTTAGATCATGAGTTTTCGTCAAGGACTCTCATAAGCATAGAATTCAGTTTATTTACTTCATCCACGGTAGTAAAATCATTAAATTGAGTTAATTAAGGAATGTCCGTCTGGCACCATCGGTCATACCTATTTTATTCCCTACATGAGTCTAATCTACATGTCACATTTGATAAAAGATAGCTTCTTTTCATGATTTTATAACCAATTTCAAACATAACTTGAAGTTTCTTAAAAATTATTACTTTGATAATGAGTTTATAAGTATCATTACCAAGGTTGGACTTGATACTTTCAAATAAATTGAGCATTGAGTAGAGAATTAATAATAAATATATTTTTGTTATATCTCAATAAGTAGAACAATTAAATTTCTGACGTTCCGGGGCTTAATGTAAGCTGCTTCTTTTACTCTGAACAAGTGGCTCACATTAGGTCGCTAGCGCCAGAAATACTATTTTTACCCATTGGGATATAACAAAAAACATTTATGATTAATTTGATACTTTTAATAATGGTCAAATTTGAGATATCAAATAGTGATTACGGTTACCGTACTTATTGACATATAGCTGACATTTTAAATATAATAGTGTAGCGCTGTGGTGTGTGCTACGCATATTGACATAAGTAGTATATAATGTTAATCGTGAACAGAATGTGTGGCAGCAGAGAGACAAGAGGATCGAACAGTAAAGAATGGAAACACAATGCAATTTGTATGGAAATGCAAGAACAATGGAGTCTGAGTCATTTTGAGGCAATTGGTGGACATTGCGCAAATTAGATATTTACTTTATGATTGTTAGATTTTACTAACAATCCTGTAATTTTGTGTTAAATACATTCGATTGTCCCCACTGGTGTTCATGTTCACAACGGTGCAAATAATAATATGCTTTCCTTAAAAAATATGTACATTAACTACAGTATAGACAGTTAACCGATATCAACAGGCTAATATCTACTATTGGTTTAACTGATGAAATAATCTGAAAACTCGTTTGGTTTCAACGTAATTAACTGTAAAAGGTCTCACTGAAATTTACTCTATATCGATATGTGGTGTATGCTACTTATGTCGACATACATAAGTAGTATGTAACACCAATCGTAAGTGAAAAACCTGGCAGCATATGGTTGGGAAGATTGAATAGAATAGAATGGGAACAGAGAGTAATTGGGATGAAACTGAGAGAACAATAAATGGGCATTTTGTAAATGAAGGATTGGACGTACTGTTTTCACATTTTACCAAATAACTCTATAATTTTGTATTAACTTGCATTTGGTCGTCCCCCACCTGTGTTTTTGTTCATCACAGATAACTTTGAAGAATCAGATAATCAAATACTTGATCGTACACTCAACAGATAGTAATGAGTATAGTTCATTAGTATATATGTCTCTTTTTCTAGACAGAAAACAGTTGTCTATCAATAGTACAACTGTTGCTATTCATCTTTTCAATAAATATTTACAAATATACGTCTAGTGAGATACAAATACATACATTTCCATACATCAATGTATTACTCAATTAGTGCACTACTATTTAAAGACATAAGATCGAAAATGTGATTTTCCTATCTATTTCAAATTATCGTATTTCATATGACGCCATTCACTCTTTTCTTCTGCATATTTTGATTTAAAATAAACATAATTTCTACACTTAATATAACCATGGAGAGAGTTTATTAGGTGAATCATTGGTGAAATTGCTAACATTTAGCTCTTTTTTACTTATGTGGATTTTTCTACAGTTTTCTTCTTCTTAAACAGTAAATAGATATACATTGAAACATCTTACCGTCTGTTTGATTATATCTATCCTGTGAAAACAACTATGTGATGCGATCCAGCACAAAGATATTTATTTGGAAAATGAACTAAATAACATGAATCGATAATAACTACGAATGTTTCCCATAATCCCTATCCAACTTTCGAAATGCCAGTTGGTCTGTGACAGACAGAGCTTATCATTGGGTGAAAATACAATCATGTTTAATCAAAATTACAGTGATTTAGGAGACTGAATGTCCTGGGATTGATTCCAGATTGTGGAATTTTGGGTATACTTTACTGAGGAGTCCTATACTAAGATGTTATAACTGTCTAATGCTTCCAAAATTTGAATAGCTCTCTGATCTATATCAATCTATGATATTAACTGGGAAATGAAGAAATTCTCTATAAACCTTTTAAGTAATATATGTATAAACATCAACATTTATCAAAATCGATAATGTACATTTTCTCTTGCTTATATTTAGATTCTATACTTATTGGACTGTTATGAGATACACCCAGTTTTCTGATTACTAAGGTTACGATTAAACTGTAGAATATGAACAGCTGTGAGTAAAAAAAGAAGTTAGATAACTATAAAAGATATAGCAAAACATGCACAAGTGATAATATTGAAAATCTGTTGTTCATTATTATTATTATTATTATTATTATTAATAGTAGTAGTAGTAGTAGTAGTAGTAGTAGTAGTAGTAGTAGTAGTAGATGTATTATCGTCAATTACAACACGAGTACAATAATGATTCGTATGAGAAATTATCCACAATCTTACTTGGATAAAAATAGTATTGTAGTCTAATTACATAAGAAATAGGACATAATTGGAATAAGGCAACATACCAGAAGTGTAAAGTCTAAATTTTTAAAAAGTAGTGAACATGAGTTACTAAAGAATCTCGATTATATAACAAAAATCATTACTTTACGTATATGTATAAGACCACAAATTGCACGGGTAGTAGGTCACTTTAACTTTATCTGGATGATGGCATTATGTTTCCTATCCAGCAGTACGAACAACTGCACTGAACAAAATAAACAACGTGTTCATCTACCTATTTCAACATAAAGATTATCAGTAAGGACAATTGTTATCACCAGTATCAATACACATGGACAAACATAGACAAGAATTCGACTGGATAAGGATCGGATTTCTAAAATGGAGAAACTCTTAGATTCCCGGAGAATTTCTAGAAGTTTGATATTCAGTTTGACTGGTAAGTAATAGGCGCATCAGCAAGAATCTATTATATCAATTCATTTAGAAGAATTCTATTATCTATACAGTCGGGCAAAAACCGAGTAATACAGTCAATATAAATGCATAAACAACCCAAGACAGTAAAGCCTAAGAAAACAATCGATTACAAATAAAGCCTTTCGAATTGATCAAACTCTATGGAATAACGACTCGGCTGAGTTCTACTGGGAGTGATAACTGATTATTTTGTTCAGAACGGTAAAGAAAGGTCTACATTTGCACCATCTAGTTCAGAGAACACTTCATCACTAAAATCAAACGTCTGAACCTTATAATCTTTTCTATCTTGTGGGATATTACAAATACATTATTTATTTATCTTGTGAATTGTTATAATATGGCTTATTTGAGTCAATAGTGATGGTATTGCCAGTGCAAATAGACCAGACTTTTCTGGATTGAATAGCGTTTGCGGTAATAAAATTGGAAGATATGCTTGTTGATAAAATGTGAATATTATTTCAAATTTTAATGATTAGGATTATTTTGATATTGAAATCATGAGTCGACCATGATCAATCTTAGTTGGCATATGTACATCCTGTACAAACTACCTCGATATAACCATCATGTCACATGTTTATATAGAATAAATGGTTTTTGATTAGCAGTGGAATCTAGGAAAGGCTTTTTGTTCTGTTTGAGATTCGTCAGTTAAGTGTGAACTAAAACAATGCAAAATGAGTGAAAATTCATATTTGTTGCACGATTGAGTAGCCACTTTAAATTAATAGCTCTCTGGATAACGTGTTAGCATTCGTAGTGTGAGGTACTAGATTCGAGTCCCAGACTAAATTCAACCGTGTGGTGCTGGTGTGCACAATTGACTTGTCTCAAAACGGAGCATTATGGTGCTATTAATAGTCAATTCTCATCTCTTCTACATAATTCTATGAATATTGTTGAACATCGTACACTTTATAAAAACGATCAAAATTTGTGTTGTGGTTTAGTGGGATAATGGTGGTTAATTAAATAATTCCTAATAAAATGAAACTTTATTTTCTGTGAAGTAACAAATAGTTGAATCCACTCAAATTTTAGATCATCATCTACTAATCTACTGAATTGCTCTTACTCTATTTAGTCACTACCCAAAGTTTAGTCGATATTGTGAATGCAGACAATTGCCCGCTGTGCTAGGTAGATGTGAATAATCGGTAGGAATTTATGGATAAAGGTTTCAATGTATGACCATTTCGTCCTAGTATGGCGTCCCTCAGCAGCATTCACGATCCCGCACACAAGATTCGAACTCAGGACCCTCGATCTCGCGGTATAGTAGATTGATTGAAGTTAGACAATAACACCATTGGATGCCAGTTCAGTGATTTACGTACATTAATTTTTCAGTAATCGGATGCAAAATCTTAAATATCAGGTCAATAGTAAAGTATCGTTTTAGCTAATTCAAACTGAGTTCCGTAAAATCTCAGGTGGATATTACCACAGTGAATCGTAATCAAAAGTAATTCTACGGAGGCATCATTGATTGAATATGAAAAATAAATATTGAATGGAATAAGTAGAATGATTATGAGCGTGCGTGTATGATGTGACAAATGAATGGATTTTGTGTAAGGATAATCGTCTTCTTATCAATGTCCAATGGAAGTATATTATCTAGCATTTCCTAGCATTCATTTATTGTGTCGTTACTGCGTATAAGATTGCAATTTTCAATGAGGACTTCATTTTAAATAATCTTATGCTATATACATATTTTTTTCTCTGAATACGTTAGTGTAGTGTATCTTGATTTGATGGATAGAGAAGGCAAATAAAGTGAAAGATAGTTTAAAATGAAATCTTCCAGTAAAAATTATGCTCATACATACAAAATGCACTCACTAAATGAAAATTGAAAAGCTGATGTTCTACAAATTCACAGACCCGAATCCTATCTCTGAATATTCGAATATTAGAAAAATAAGAATGTTAAACGATCACTGGTATAGAATAATACAATGTGGTCTATTGATGGACGCCCATAAGATTAAGTTATTGACTTAAGATCTTATTAGATTTGAAATCAAAGCTAAGTACACGAATCAGAATAACAGACCATTTGTCTAATAAAATAACATAAATACATACAGCAATTTACGAAAAGTAAACTTTATTAGATTGCATGAAATCAGTTTTTTGAATCATTCTTTAATGAATAATGAAAGGTTCAACTGTTAGGCTTCTACAACTTATCAGTGTAATGAACCTAAGGGTTAACATCACAGTGTATAAAATATACAGATTATAATCAAGTATTTTAAGTTAAGAAAATGTGAAGAGGTAAAAATATTTTTTGAAAAACCATTATATTGGAGCAATAAATCAGATCTGTAGTAAATGGAAGAGGAGGTGAATGGGATTCAACACAATATCTATACACATAATTATGGTTTCAATTTGTAGTTAATTAAAAATCTTTCAAATATTAAGTAAAGAAGAATTCTAAGTAAAGTGTTCTGTATTTTATTTACCTAACTATAAATAATGTAAAAGAAAACTTAAATAATACTGTGATGTGTGCTACATAAATTGATATAAGTAGTATATAACGCGAGTCAGCAATAGAATGTCTGGCAGCAGAAGATTGAGAAGATCAATAAGAGAAGAACAGGAACAAAAAGCAATTGGTATGATAATGCAGGAACAATGAAGTCTGAAACAATTAATGAACATTTTACAAATGAAGTATTACAGCATGTTTTTTTTACTTTAACAAGTAACTCTGTAATTCTTTTGTGCTAAATATAATCGGTTGTTCTCGTCTGCGTTCTCTATCACTATAATATAAATGCTGGTGTACCGACTTTATTTTTTTCAACCGTTATTCATAATTTATTTATTTCTTGAAGTATATCATACATCAACACTTACGTGAATAGTATTGCAGTGAACAAGAACACCAATGGGGACAATCGAATGTATTTAACACAAAATTACAGGATTGTTAGTAAAATCTAACAATCATAAAGTAAATACTTAATTTGCAAAATGTCTACCAATTGTCTCAAAATGACTCAGACTTCATTGTTCTTGCATTTTCATACAAATTGCATCCTGTTTCCATTCTTTACTGTTCTATTCTCTTGTTTCTCTGCTACCAGACCTTCTGTTCACGACTAACATCATATACTACTTATGTCAATATTAGTAGCACACTCCACAGTATCAGAAGGGGTTTTGTGGAGATTGTAGTAATTTTAATAGTTGAAATTGTGAGTCGATTGAAGCTAGACCACCATGGAAAACCTGGAAGAACTGGATGGTCGTTTCATCCTACTATGGGACTCCCAGGCCATCCAGTGCTTCCAGGTTTTCTATGGTGGTCTAGCTTTAATTGACTCATGATCTCAACTATTGAACTTACATGAATGTTATTTCATACACATAATTCCCTTTATTATCTTAAATACAGCAAAATTTTCAAATAGTTTATATTTAAACTAGGCTTTCTTCTCTTCACTAACTGGGTGCAATTCTTTCTGAAGATTGTTGTTAATCAATGGAGTTTTTTTCTAATCGAATAATTTTCACTTGGTGTTTTTATTTATGTCTATGGAAATTTTACTTCTTTGAAATTTCTATTCAGCTATAATCAATTAATTAAGAATTTATTCAATATGCCTAAATAAACACAATATGACATGGAAACACTGTTGAGAAACATCCATCCATTCATACATACATGCACATAGATAAACGTACTCATACTTATTATGAGCCATTTTACTGACCAATGAGATTTATCAAATAAGTGTGTTGTAAAATAACAACTATGTAATATGGTAACTATGCCGATATATAGTAAAATTATTTAATCATGTTTCTATGTTTCATTTATTTGTCTGAACAGAATCATCTTTACCTATTTTATTATGATTTTATATGCGTCAAAATGAATGAACATTATGATGAATGAAATACAATGAAATTGATTCATTGTTGAAATTCCAACTTGTGACTTTATATATATAATAAATGAAAGGATTCTAACCAAATTGTATTAGTGTTTACTATTCTCTTGGAATTTCTTATCATTTGTGAATAAGCTTAATATTAGAATAGAATTTTCGGTGAATGATTAAAAGAAGATATACATACTTAACAAAAAAAGCACATTACTTGAGTAGTGTGCTTTTTTAAACGATCAATTTGTTTTTATCTATAACAGTTTGTGTATCTGTATACGCTTACAGATATGTTTATATGTTATTGTTTGTCAATGGAAACTAAGTTATGCTTTAATACACCCACATATTTGTAATCATAATATCTAAGTCATAATAATCATAATAATAATTGTTAAGGTGTATTGAGCCTGAACAATCTTTCTGCCTATCAACAATCTGTGTGTAAGTATGTATATGTATATATATACATATATATGTGTATGTAAATGTATGTCTTTATATATAGTTGGATGTTTGCATATGTCTAATTGAAATAATATTGAGTAATAAAAACAATGTACCTTTAAAAAAGAACACCTCATTTTAATTGTGAATTCTTGACAAATGTACTCAATCATTATTGAATATCATCAGTTCAATTTAGTTTCTATAATAAAT